AAATAAAAATATTAATTCAATCTTTCTAATATTATATGTTCGCGATCTTCAACAGTTAATGCACTTGATGATGATAGGGATTTTATTGATTCTATGATTCTTACTCTCTGTTCGTTGCACTTTCTACACAAATATATAAAGTTAGGAGGGATAAGGAGAGTTGAGAGAGGAACAATTTTACATGACATCCTTATTCAGTGAGTTTGAAATATATCAATTGTAAGATCACATATTCTTCCAAATAATTGATGAATTTGAAATGTAAATATTTTCTAGGTCATCCAAACAAAGCATCTAGAGATATTTAATGGTGGATTTGAAATGCCAACCACCCCAATCCTCCATCCAAATGGCCCCTTAATGTACTTCAAGTAAAAGCACTATTTCAATTTGGATGTAGTACTATTGTATTACTCCATTCGTCCCACTTTAATAGTCTTTTTGCTTTTTTCGTTTGTACAAAATTATAGTCCATTTTTCAATATAATAATATAGTTAATATTTAATTTCTCTAAAATATTCTTATTTAATATACTTTGTTATCAGTGAGTATAACTTATTTTATCCATTAATTGTTTTGATTCATACCTTGAATGGTGCAACATTTTATCAATATTGTTGTTGTAATTAATGTAAAAGTACAATGGTTAGTTATACTACCAATATTAATGTAAGGTTATTTTAGAAAAATAGTAGGCTGGATTTACTCTTTCAGTAAAATTAACTAATTTTTCGTAAACTGTGTGAAAAAAAAATCAAGACTATCAAAATGGGATGGATAGAGTATATAATAGAATCCAATTAGTATCTAGCCACTCAAAAACCTAAAATGCCCTTGGTATTTTTGGATAAAGCATTGTTGTGCGCTTTTTACTTGAAAAGTAACGATTTTAGCCTTCCAAGGTGTTTTACTTCACAAGTAATAGAAATCCTTTACTAGACGTAAAGCACCAATTTGAATTAGTATTCTTACAACAGATATTACTACATTATATCTCGATTTGTTATATGGTATATTTTCTTTTTAATTACTTATAGCATTAAAATTTGTCCATAAAGTTTTTCAAATGTATATGAACTTGTAATACGAATTTTGAATTTCTTCCTTTTGTATCGTCCTAATGATACTCTATATACACAGTTGTTTTATTTTGGAATTATTCATCGCCCTCCCTTCATCTAACTTATCGATACCACACGAAAAACTCTTCAAAATTTTACTATTTCTTTCATATATATCTGTGACATCTTCCTATAATTTTATTGGCGTTGAAGTTACACAATGGGCCTATAATCCGAAAATTGCAGAGTTAAGGTGCATAAAATACTTGATTAAAAAATTGATTATTTTATTGACATCAACAAAACTTTTTAACTTTTTTCCCTTTCAGCATCAAGATTAGTTAGTCTAATTATTTTTTTTAAATTTGATGTTGCATCCTACACATGGTCAATCTTATTACTATACTATATACTGTTATGGGTAAATTACATTTTACCCCCTGTGGTTTAGCATTTTTTACATAATCCGTCTATGATTTCAAAAACTATACATAATCCCCTCATGATTTGGATTAAAGTGTCAAAGTAATGGAAATAGTCGTTTGTAACCGAACTTCTAAAAATATCGAAATTACCCTTATAAATACATGATACATTAACCCCGTATGATTTTTATATTTGACCAAATAACTCCCTTATGGTTTAATACTTTACCATATAACCCCCTTATGATTTTCAAAATATACACATAACCCCCCTTGGTTAACAAATAATTTTCAATTTTACATAAGGGTATTTTTTATATTTTAGGTGACTCCATTAAAAATGATTATTTCCGTCATTTTGACACTTTAATCCAAATTATGAGGGGTTATATATAGCTTTTGAAACCATAGAGGGGTCATATAAAAAAATGCTAAACCACAGGGGGTAAAGTGGAATTTGCCCTACTATTATTAAAGATGCTACCAACTCTTTTTGGCATCTTATGCCAATTCTTACTACCATAATACGTACGTTTTCCCTTGTCCAATTGCATGTGGAATTTATATCATAGATCGGTCAAACTTGTGCATGGATCTACACGTATGAACGCTAAATTGTTTAATCAAAATAGGCAATAAAATAATCATAATCAATTAATCAAAGTCTTTTGTACTACTCATCAACAAGCATATATCAACACTCTTTCTGGTTTCCTTCCTCTTTCCTTTGCTTTTAGGCATGAAAAACTCATGCTTCAATCCTCAAATATTCTTCCAATTATGACTATATATAAAGAGCTTCTCTGTTAATCATTCACAGCTGAAGCAACCCTTTTCCTCTCTCCCTTAAAATTTGATCTCAGACAAGCCAGGTAACAATATAATGGATCATCAAAGAAAGGTGTTGAAGAATGATCATGAAGGCAGTAGCAGCAGGCAGAATAGTGATCAGATGGAGAGAGATGCAGATGATACGAAGAAAAGATCATCAAGTATGGGGAAAAGGCTTGTTACAGAAGATGTTGACAAGTTGGCTGATGATTTCATCTCAAAGTTCAAGAATCAGCTCAAGATTGAGAGAGAAGACTCGTTGAAACGGTTCAAAGAAATGATTGCTAGAGGGGTTTAAACTTTAAACTTTAAATTCTCATGGAGAATCATCCTTGTGAAAGCCGCGTTGAAATAATTAAGTAGCAGATTGTTGAATTCATCAAAGAGAGGTGTCTATCTATGAAATTATCACAGTTTTGAATTTGTGCATTTCTTTTGAAATAAGTATCAGACTGTTGTATTCATATAAATGGTCAGTGTTCTTGGTTCATGCATGCAAATCAGTTTTCCAATTATACCTCATGAAATGTACTGCTACACACAGATTACATAAGCTAAACAGACATTTATAGTTGGGATTTTTAGTGTAGGAACAAAGGAAAATTACTTTTTACAATTATTAGTGATTAAAAATTTGTTAACTGCTTCCAACAGATCATAGTAATGGTTTTATGAGAAATTATTTAACTTAATTATAAAGATTAAGTATATAGAATTCATACTCCTCGGTGATGCTCTCTGTATCTTTCCAAGTTCTAGTGTAGAAACACTAATTACAAGAATAATTTGGAAGGTTGAACTTATAAGATTTCTGTTTTCTTCTTTAAAGTTGTTTGGAAGAAAAATAAGAAAAAAATTTCTTTAAAAGAGTAATGCAATGTGGAAAAAAATATTACAACTTTAGGATATTCTTAACCCTAGTTAAAAGGAGTCACAAGCATGGGTTTAGAGAAAATGAAGTTAAATTGCAAAATTTTCTAAATACAAATTGATAATAAGTTAGGCCGTGTGTATTACTGTATTCAAATAGAAAATTTGTATGTGTTGACCCATAACATAGATTACTCGTTAAAAATTTTTAAATTAATCGATAAATTTTTAATTCTCACTTAAAAAAATTCATTTAAATTTTTAGTTTTGTTATCAGAATTCAGGAACTTGGAAAAAGAAAAAAATATATAAGGTAGGGAAACATTTAAAAGATCAAAGAAAAGACATGCCCTGTCATTGACCTACTTGATGGAGTCAGATTGCAATTTCCTACATTATTTAATGCGAACAGTTTAACAGATTTCTCACGTGCTCAATAAAAGTCAAAAAATGGAAAAAAAAAAGAATATGGGATATATTGGCTAAGGGACAATTTCATACAAATTAGTCTTTGAATTAATAGTCTATCTAACGAGTGCCTATAAGATATATTTTAGGAATTGAAGTTTTAAGATTAATTAAAGAAAGCGTATGAATGCAAGGGAATTAATTATGAAAAGTATGTAAATGTAAGGAAAGATAATAATTTTTAGTATATGTATATACATGATAGGTTGAATGGAATGTAGCTGTGTTAACTAGTATCTATTGGACACTCATTAAAAAAACCCCTTGAACTAATATCGTAATACTAATCTGAGTATATTGGAATATTACATGGAACGTCATTTTGTAAGCTAGTAGTTCCATGAAAATCCATGAGAAGGTTTTTCAAATTTATGTGGAGAGTTTAATATAAATTCTTTCTTGCTCATCCTTTTTTTTGTCTTAATTAATGAATCATTTTATAGCCCCTGTCAGAAAAGCTTTTAATTTTAACTATTTTTCTTATAGATATTCGTGATATTTTCCATAATATTGTTGAGAGGAACTTTCTCATATAATCAACATGATATTCAAAAAAGTTAATAATTACATCAACTGAAACTGAAACTTTTCTTGTAATTTCCTTTTATAACTTTGTAATATTCTACCATTATTCAATAATCACAATGCAAAAAATGCTACTTTATTTGTCATTTTGTTCCAATCTTCATAGACTTTTCTCCAATTCCACTTGAAATTCACATCATAAAGTTGTCTAACTTCTCCATGAATACACACGGATGATTAATAAAAAAAAAATTATTCAATCAAATTGGAAGTAAATAATCTGAATCTATTATCTTTTCCTTTATTGGCCTCAGTTTTCCAGATTCACAGAGGAAAAAAAGAATGCCTTGTACTCATCAGCAAGCGTGTATGCTAACACTCTTTCTGGTTTCCTTCCTCTTTCCTTTGCTTTTAGCCAAGCAAAATTTATGCTTAAATCCTAGGAAAATCGTCTCATTATGACTATATATAGTTGATTTCTCTGTTGATCATCCACAGCTGAAGTAACCCTTTCTTCTATACTGCTAGGCTTGATCTTCTTACAAGCTTGCTAAATTTAGCGATACAATGGACCATCAAAAAGAGGATTTCAAGAACAATAAAGGTAGTAGCAGCTGCAAGAAGGATAGTGATCAGACAGAGAAGGATGCTGATAGGGGAAGATCATCATCAAGAATAGCGAAACGTCTAATTCTTGAAGATGTTGACAAACTGGCGGACAGTTTCATTGCCAAGTTCAGGAATCAGCTCAAGATTGAGAGACAAGAGTCATTTAAACGTTTCAGGGAAATGATAGATAGGGGGCTCTGACTCTTTTGTAATTATCCTCTATTGATAAATATGTTCTTGATATCAAACTTTCACTGTGTTGTGTACATCATCTGCTTGTGATTTCAATCAACGCATTGTACTTAAATATACAAATAGTTTTATAATAATGCATAATTTGGATCATACACATTTAGGGGGTAAATGGTGAATCCACCAACACCCCTAATTGAGTGACAGTACTCCTGTTGATGGAATGAATGGTGAGATATTTGTCATGTCCTCACCTGCCCAAATCTATACATGAAAATAACGTAATTGCAAAAAGTTAGGCAAGTTCCCCCTATCAACCCGTGCTAAGTTTTGTAATCCACAGAGGAAAGAGATTCTTCCACTGTAGATCATGATTTAAGGCAACCGCAAATTCTGGAATTCTAGGAATAATGTTGTTGCCTTTAAGCATCTCCTATTCACGTACTCATCTGTAAGGTCCACATCCTCATAAATGGTACCTAGCCTTGAGTACCTCCGGTTATCAACCTTTAACCTGTCAATGAGGACTTCGTAATCTGATTCTACCTCATTATGTTCCTGTCTCCTTTGCTTTCTGCTGTCCTTATTGGCCTAGGCTTCAATTGGTGTAAGGTGACCTCTTTTCTTGTCTGCAATTGCCCAAATTCTCCTTAAGTTTCCTTGCCAATCCCTTGCATTGATGCTATAGCCAATTCTGCATTTCTAGTGGCTGATTGCTGCATCAGTAATATAATAATGGTAGTGGTAGGAGCATGGACTATGGAGATATATGGTGATGTTGCTGAGAAGTTTCCAAGGAACTTCGAAGTTGGGAAATCCAGGCATAAGTAGAAATATAATAATGGATTCGACAGCATTTGCTTTATCCCCAAGTCAAACAACCATGTGAAAAGGAAATAAAAAAAGAATTAAAAAAGCACAGAGAATGTGGTGGGCTGCATTTGACATCAGTTAATTAGACCATAAAGTAGTATAGGAATAATTAGGAAAGCCAGTTTACTAATACTTGCTAGCTAGTGCCTTGTAGTAGTAGTAGTAGTAGTAGCATGAAAATAATTACTAAATATTGATGCTAAAAAATGTTCAAGTGCTAAATGAATAAATTGCTTACTCCAACCATCACCATCATGGACAAATTTGTAATAGATTCTATGGAAGCTTGGAGATGATTTAGGGGTGGTAAAGGAACTTGAGATCCGAACCTCGAAGTTGATTCTACCTCGAATCCGCGGCTGGATTCGTCGAAGATGTTAGGTGGGATTCAATTCACAATATTATCGTACTTCAGTAAATTGGATATATCTTGATGTAAAAAAAAACTCTGAATTGAGTGCTATTCAAAGGACTTTGCATTTATATAAAAATCCCACCCTAATTTTATATCCATAAGAATTGGTGGAGCTCAAAAATTGACCTTTACATTCCACTAAAATGAGAGAATGATGTTTTCTATAGGTTATTACTTAGGACTAGTGCTGGGACGACTGTATTATGACAAATTAGTATGGTTAAGAATTGTTAGAATTTGAATTAAGTACTTTTGATACGATTAGGTATAAACTAATTTCTATTCGGATGGTTCAGAGTTGAGTTTGATGCTAGCTTATTTGGTGAAAATAAGTTGTGCGTATACACTTTACCTTTTGAAAATGTAATTGTCAAAATCTTATGACTTTCAAAGCTATTTACATATTAAACTGGCATGAGTATGTGCATGTATTATTGATTTATTATGTATGCATAACTATGATCAAATGTAAATGATTTATTTGATTGAGCTCTTGTATAGGGTAATTTTGACGGGACTAGTTCGTCGTATGCCAATTTTGACGGGACTAATCGTGTTATAATTAGCAATATCAAAATGGGTTAATCGTGTGATAGTTAGCATTATGAACTGTGTTAACCAGTCAAGTTATTAATGGAATATATAGGGCCGACGGTTAACCTTGTATCTTGAGTTCATTTACGAACATTATAATGTATACATTGTACTTGAAATACTTCTTCTGATGGTCACATCTTTGTAAATTTATATATACTAGTTTTTTCAGCCTCACGCAATGCGTGAGGATGCCCTGGGTCTATGTTAATCAAGATCAAATGAAGGCAAGTGGATTAATGTAAAATGGTTATATATTTAATACATGATAGGTGTTAATAAATGTGGAGAATTGACTTTAGATAAATTGAATATTATTGTTACTTGTTTACTCATTTAATTTGTAATTTTCTCTTAGATAGTCAGTCTTTGACTCAAGATCTTTGCGAATTCTTGATATTATAAATAAATGATGCATTCATTTAAAATGTACAAGTACATACATATATCATAAATATGGTGACGTTGATCACTTTTAAAATTATGCACACATTATTTGTATCTAATCAAGAATGAAATAAGTTTAAACAAGATCAGCTAGGTGAGAGTGCAAGACTTCACCTTGTAAAACCGCCAAATCTAGGTCTTCAATTGGAGAAAGAAACACATCCAATATGTTGCATTTCAGATGGCTTTCTCTCAAGATTACATAGGCAATACAGCTTTGTGCGGCTCCCACAGACCGCTTCGGACACCACCCACCGCCTACTCACCAGGGGAGCTCAAGCAACTACAACTATACGATGAAGATACAAATACACGTCCGAACTCTGAAGCACAAACACAAAAGCCACCAAAGTTGACCAAGCACACAACTGAAGCACGAATGCAAAAGTCACCGAAGTTGCCCATAATTTAGGCGGTGGATCTATTTTACAAATGGGGTAACAAACTCATGTTTAAAATTCAAAAATATGTATTTATAGAATCATTTTTTCATGCTCGAAAGAAAAATTGGAACTACTGTAAAAGTTTAAAAATTATAATCCATTTCTTAAATTGCATATTTTTTTATGAAGAAAGTTTATCCTTTTGCAAAAAAAAGAAAAAAAAGGTTTACACAGCCACGGGATGCCTTCATATTTTTAGTAACAAACTCATGTTTAAAATCCGAAAATATGTATTTATAGAATCATTTTTTCATACTCGAAAGAAAAATTGAGACTACTGTAAAAGTTTAAAAACTATAATCCATTTCTTAAATTGCCTTTTTTTTTATGAAGAAAGTTTATCCTATTGCCAAAAAAAAGAAAAAAATGTTTACATGGCCACGGGATTCCTTCATATTTTTTTTAATTTTTTTTCCAAAATAGGAGGACCCTCTTGTTTATATTGACAGTATACATTTTCACATTTTAATGCATATTATTTAATCCAAATTTGAATTCTAATATCAACTTTTGTATATATGACATGTATCCAAAAATGATAGTGAGTGTGTTTGGATTGAAATGATTTGAAAAAAATAATTTGCTTCACAAATTTCAATCACCTTTTTATCTCGCGTACATCACATCATAAAATATGCTACAGTAATTATATCAAATAAACTCCTATCCAAATAAACTCAGTGTATACTGTATATTCTGAAACTCTTGGTTGAAATGTAAGATAATTAAAGAATATTTCATAAAGCTACATATGCAAAACAGTGGAAATGTAAGATGCTACTTTCAACATGAACCTACTGAAATAAAATGCACAAAAACATAAACAATTTGATTGTAAAAAAAAAAAAAAAAGACACAATCTTATGTAAGCAAAGAAGAGGACCATGTGCCGAGCAGCTTACAACCGAGCTAAGTGGATACATGAATGCACCAGCAAATTGCTAAGAATCAGAAGACACACGCTAGCAAAGAAACACGCGGACAGGAGCAAATTCCCAGCAAAGCCACTACCACCGAATAACAAACGACCAAAATGCCCCTTAAGCTCACACAAATAACAGCATAACCGGACCATGAGGCACTGTTCACAATCCCAACTCCCGCTTTTAGTATAGTAAAGATGTATCGATGAAAGTTTGGAATGTATTATATACGTACACGAACATGCTCAGACTAATAAAAAAAATACATGTGCTACTTACTCAGTAAGTTGTTGCTCACCCTCCTTATTAATTGTGATACCCAAGTTTTCTTTTTGAGACCTTAAGTAAAAAATTAAGAAATTTGGGATGAAATTGAGAAGTTTAGATAAGTTGGGCCAATTGATCAGAATATTGTTAAATTTCAAAAAATTTGATCAAATATGGCCAATTGGGTGGAGCTGAGAAATTTTCTTAAAAAATATAATTGGCCATCGCGCCATGTTGGCCCGACGCCTGCTCGTTTTTTTTAAAAAAATTTCTACAGGCGTCGGGCCTACAAGTAGACATCTGCCAAAAAATTTTGATTAGAATATCTACAGCCTTTGACAGTCGTTCCAAGTGGTTCTACTGAAAGCTTTTTTCATGCTTTGTTAGGGAATATTGTTAAATTCCAAAAAATTTGGTAAAATATAGTAAAGGCAAGAAAACCGCGATCCAGTGATATTATTTTGTCTTCGACGATGTTTTATATCTCATCCATTTAATGCACTCCACACAATCTTGACATTTAATTTAACTTAGTTGTCTACTTTTTTTGTTTAATCCAATCACTTTCAATTTGAATAACGTTAAATAGTTTCAAAATAGAGAAGTACAAGTTATTTTATTAAACCCTATAATTGGATAGAAGGGTCCCTATAGGATAATACCTACAAAACAAAGAAGTACTAGTTATTTTACGGCTATTTTAATTGATTAAATACTTAAACTAATTATCGTATACCAAATAATGAGACACAAACAATTCTTCATTTCTACAAATATGTTATTAATCTTTTTATACGATTGCATTTTATATAAAAATTTAAATATATAAATCACAATTCGTGTTGTAATTTTTCATTTTTTTTACATAATTACGGTTCCTTTAACGTTCTATGTGAATTATAGATGACAAAGTTAAAATTAACAAATCATAATAATATTAAGCAATAATTCCATCCATTACGCTATCACTTAAACTTAAATCATATTATTAAACCATTTTCTAAATTTAACAAATTATAATAATTTAAGCATGTTATATAACTTAAACTTGCTAAAATGGTAAACCCTAACTCTTTAGAAAAACCCTAAATCCTTTAACAAACAGATCAAATTTTTAAAACCTAACATCCTTTAAAATGCTATGCGAAGCCAGTGTTTGTTTTTAAAATTTTATCGGACTGTCAACATTGTTTTTAAAAATTTTGATTTTAAAAAATTTTAAAAAAAAATTCTGAATTGTTTGGCCATCGCTTTTATATGACTCGATGGCCGAAAGATTTTTTAAAAAAAAAAAATTTCTGAATCGCCTGGCCATTGCTCCTACATGGTGCAACAGCTCAAAAGATTTTTTTTTTTTTTAAATTCTAAATTCTCTGACCGTCAATCCTACATGGCGCGACACCCAAAAAGATTTTTTTTTTTAAAAAAATTTCTGTATTCTCTGGCTGCTGCTCCTACATGGAGCCGCTAGATAGATTTTTGTAGCGACAATCAGAAAGATTTTTTAAAAAAATTGTCCATTGCGCCTACTTGGCACGATGGGCATATATTAATACCAATCAGCCAAGCCACCGTATTTAACCGACTTTTTTGGGATTTAACAATATTCTGATCAATTGACCCCAAATTGTAGGGTTGGGACTAATTGATCAGAATATTGTTAAATCCCAAAAAAGTAGGTCAAATATGGTAACTTGACTGATTGGTATCAATATATGTCTGTCGTGCCGAGTAGGCGCGAAAAGCAATTTTTTTAAAAAATCTTTCTAGCCGTCGCTCCTACAAAGAATTCAGAATTTTTTTTTTAAAAATCTTTCTGGACGTCGCGCCATATAGGATCGACGGTCAGAGAATTTAGAATTTTTTAAAAAAAAATCTTTCAGGCCGTCGCACCATATAGGAGCGATGGCTTGGAGATTTAGAAATTTTTTTTAAAAATCTTTTGGCTATCGTGCCATGCAGGAGCGACGACCAGACAATTTAGAAAAAAAAAATTTTAATTATTTAAAATCAAAATTTTTAAAAATAATGCAGATAATCCAACAAAATTTTAAAAACAAACATTAACTTCACGTAGCATTTTAAAGGATGCTAGGTTTTAAAAATTTGATCCATTTGTTAAAGGATTTAGGGTTTTCTTAAAGAATTAGGGTTTACCATTTTAACAAGTTTAAATTATATAACATGTTTAAGTTATTATGATTTGTTGAATTTAGAAAATAATTTAATAATATAATTTAATTTTAAGTGATAGCGCAATGGATGGAAGTATTGCTTAATATTATTAGGATTTGTTAATTTTAACTTTGTTATCTATAATTCACATAGAATGTTAAAGGAACCGTAATTGTGTAAAAAAATGAAAAATTACAACACGAATTACGATTTATATATTTAAATTTTTATATAAAATGCAATCGTATAAAAAGATTAATAACATATTTGTAGAAATAAAGAATTGTTTGAGTCTCATTATTTGGTATACGATAATTAGTTTAAATATTTAATCAATTAAAATAGCCTTAAAATAACTAGTACTTCTTTGTTTTGTAGGTATTACCCTATAGGGACCCTTCTATCCAATTATAGGGTTTAATAAAATAACTTGTACTTCTCTATTTTGAAAATATTTAATGTTATTCAAATTGAAAGTGATTGGATTAAACAAAAAAAGTAAACAACTAAGTTAAATTAAATGTCAAGATTGTGTGAAGTGCATTAAATGGATGAGATATAAAACATCGTCGAAAACAAAATAATATCAATGGATCGCGGTTTTCTTGCCTTTACCATATTTCACCAAATTTTTTGGAATTTAACAATATTCCCTAACAAAGCATGAAAAAAGCTATCAGCAGAACCACTTGGAATGACGGTCAAAGGCCGCAGATATTCTGATCAAAATTTTTGGCAGATGTCTGCCCATCGCGCCTTGCCTCCAGACATTTTTTTTAAAAAAACGAGCAGGCGTTGGGCCAACATGGCACGATGGCCAATTACATTTTTTAAGAAAATTTCTCAGCCCGTCGTGCTATCTTGGCACAACAGGCATATTTTCATACCTCCCACCCAATTGGCCATATTTGACCGAATTTTTTGGGAATTAACAATATTTTGATCAATTGGCTAGAATTGTCAAGTATGCTAGTCCAGATTCAATTCATAGCTCTGTTGCACTTTTGTAAATTACTTGTATCTTGATATAGAAAATTCGAAATTGAGTGCCATTTGCGCGTTTGGTCACCCCAAAATGTAAATCAACTCAGTCCCAATTTTTACCTGATATACCAACTAGATCCCACAAACCACAACAAGTGTTCATTCCTATTCTCAAGGAAAGATCCAAACTTGAGCTTTGATACCACTAAAATGTTACACCTCGTACTTGGGACGTAACACCGTCGTACCTCATGGCTATCTCACAAGGCACAAGACAATACAGCTAGCTAATTTATAGGTATAAAACTAGGATGAGATCTTTAAATAAACTTGAAGCCCTCTGAGTCTAGTTTTCCAATGCCGCAGATGGCACTCAATTTCAAGTATTCTACATTAAGAAATGGACAATTTACTAAAGTGTGAAAGTACCATGAACCAAATTCGGCCTGCATCCTTGACGAATTTGGCTGCAAAATTTGGAGCAAAATCAACTTCTAGGCTCAGGACTTAAGTTCATTTTCACCTTAAATCATCTCTAAGCTTCCATGGTCATCAAAATACATAATTTTATTCCACATCATAGTATTGCATAAATAAATTTAGAAATAAGGCAATGAACCCAAATCATTCAATTTCTACTAAGATTTTTCATCTCTTGAGATACCTTAAAAACTATCGTAAACATTAATTTAATTAAACACTCCTTCTCAACCAAAATCAAGAACTAAAATATCTCAAAAGTAAATCCTAACAAAAGATTCAAGAAACCCAATAAAAGATCCACCATACCTACAATTCAGTTCATCAACCCAACACCTAATCCAAATTAAACCATAAATGAAAAATATATATAACTAACAAACTTGGCTAATAGACAAAGAAGCGTATAATAACTACTCCCTTGCATTTATATTGGAATCACTAAACTCTTACTTTGAGAATTTGAAGAGGAAATGGGAACCTTTAGAGGAAAAGAGGAAAAAGAATCATAGTAAGAAAAGAAAGAGAAGGAACAAGAAATATCTTCTTCCACTAACAATTTAAAATTACACAATAATTCTCTAAATTCTTACCACTCACCTAAATATAATAAAGTACTTAATTAAATCCTAAAAACTCCTATTCATACTAAATTATCATAATAAGAATCCTACATACCAACCTTAAGTAATTACTTATAGCAAAGGTCATAAACTAGCTTAAATGCAACACATAGGTTAACTTTAAAACTTCACCAACTCTTATATTTACAGAATAAAGATAACACCTTTATTCCTAGTTAAAGCTCCCTGAATCTAGTTTCTAACGTTTCAAACGGCACTTAATTTCGAGTTTTCTACGTCAGGATATGACTAAAACACTAAAGTGTGTCAAAACTCCAAGCCAGGTCCGCAACAGAAACCTTAACTAATCTGCGAGCGGATCCGGCAGTGGATCCTGAAGCAATATGGATTTCTAGATTCATACCTTAATCCCAACCCACCTCAAACCATTTCCAACTTCTATAATCATCAAAATACATAACTTTTGCATTCCACAATTATATTATTGCATAAATAAACTTAGCAACGAGGTATTAAAACCTGTATCATTCAATTCTACCAAGATTATCCATTATCACAACAATACATAAAGAATCAAACCAAATAATGTATCTATAGTCAACTCAATTCAAGCTCATGGGATGCAAACGCCCAACCAAGATTCTAGTCCACCCAATTCAAATCATAAACTTCAAATACCCATACTGAGTAAACTACAATTAGTACAAGACAGCCAAAACTTACCCTGATCAGTGGTTGAGTTTAAGCCTCCAAACCCTTCTCTAGATCCTTGATTAAGATCCCCGAAATTCACACCTTCATTTGAAGAAAAGAAAGAAAGGAAGGAAGGAAGGAAGGAAGGAAGAAGATGGTTCGGTCAAGACTCAAGAGGGAGAAGAGATGAAGAATTTGGGAAAGTTTCCCACCGATGAAATCCCAAATCCCAATACACTAATATCTTCCACTATTTTATTTAACTACCCTCCAACCCTACGCCAATTTATTATAATATTATTAAATTTCAAAAAATTCGGCAAATACGACCAACTGGATGGGTGGTATGAAAATATGCGGTGCCATCTTGGCATGACGGGCTGAGAAATTTTCTTAAAAAATGTAAGTTTCATCCCAAATTATCTCCAAGTTTCAGAGCAGAATCGACTTTCATATTCATGTCTCAAGTTCCATTTCCACCCTGAATCATCTCCAAACTTTCATCAATATGTTATGGGAGTGTTTTTCAAAAATTAATTTTTCAAATACAATAAAAATTTTTAAAAAGTACTCTAAAAAGGTAATTTAAAAATTAATTTAAAATTTTTTTAATTATAAAAAATATCTTAAAATATATTCTAAAAACTCTTCTACTCTTAAATATTCCAAAATATTTTCTAAAAATATCCCAAAATATAATTTAAAAACTCTGTTACAACAAAACTTTTCAAAAACACCTCCAAAAATAGCTAATCCAAACAGATATGACACCCAAAAACTCTCTTAAATGTCATTCTAGGCAAGCACTCCATTCCCAATCAAAATCAAGAACTAAAACGTCTAAAAAATAAGCCTAACAAAAGGTATAAGAACACTAATTAAAAATCTACCATACCCACAACTCAATTCATCAACTCAATACTCAATTCAAATTAAACCATAAATAAACTAAAAAATAACTATCTTATCTTATCTAATAAAGAAAGAAAGGTATACTAAATTCTCTCTTGCACATGCATTGGAATCCCTAAACTCTTTAGGAATTATAAGAGGAAATGAAAACCTTTAGAGGAAAAGAAAGAACAAGAAGCCATTCGATCATAGGAAGAAAAAAAAAAGGACGAAAAATATCTTCTTCCACTAACAATTCAAAATTGGACAACAATGCTCCATTTTCTTAGCATTTTAAAATTTCACCCTAAAGTTTCATAATTCACATCAATATCCCTACAAAAAATACTTGGGTGTCACATAAAGGCAATATGGCAACATGGTGATCTTGTTGAGTATTTTCCAAGGATTCAATGTTGGAAATTCCAGCCATCATAGACAGCCTTTCAACAGTAATAGATTATCAATCTTAGCAACCAAGTACTTGTCCTCTCCAACTCAACTGATATTTTGGGTAAAAAATACAAAAGAAAAAAAGGCAAAGAAAGGAGGGTGGGTAGCAATTATTGACCTGGTTAATGAGCTGAAGCATCGGGTCGGGGGGTTGGGTTAGTTGGGTAGATAAGTCCCTGGGGCTGTACCAAGATTTGCCGACTTTTGGTATTAGCTCTTGGATTAGGTTTATTTCATTCGACAAAAGTCAATTGCTTTGAGTCGGAAAAAAAATGAGCTGAAGCATCCTTATTTGGTAGTAATACGAATTTTGATGTTAAAAGATGCTCCAGTCTCAAATTCAAGAAGAGGTTATTTTGTAATATGGGAATAAATTAATATGTCTACTTCGTGAGGTAGTTTGTGACCCACATAAACACAATTATGGCAGGGCTTTGGTACCCAAAGAACCTCGCATGTTTGACTTAGGCTTAAATCAGTTGTTAAAGCCTTAGAGGGTAATTGAAACATAGAAATGGAGACTTAGAGGCTTAACCAGTAGTTAAAGCCACAGAGAGTAACTAAAACAGAGAAGTGGTGAATGTAGTAGGAGATTGACCTCGGGTTACCTTGCTCCATTAGTGAAGACTTCTTCTGCCCGGCCAAAATGTAATTTGTAAATGGCCTCATCTTTTTGTGTCTACTTTGCTAATGTCTAGGCCACACATGCATGTAGTAGACCCTGAAAAATGCACTGGCCTTCAGGCCATTGTAACCAGTAGCTCTCTTCTTTTCCTTGGCATGGAAAAGAATTTTTGCCGCCTCCACTTCTTGAACAAATGCCAAAGCCTGTTCCTTGAATTTCACCTTGGCTTGCAATTTTCTCAAGAACTAAAATGGCTTATTTATTTCTCTAATTTTGTGTTCCTCATCAAGGTTGGAGAATGTGTCGCCACAGAGTTGCTGCTTGAAGAGAAGGCCTAGCCTCAGTAGACTGATTTTTGTAATCAACACATAGATGCTACCTTTGCAAGCACTGCCAGAATTTCAGCTAAGAAAGTTTGAGAGTCCTCGTTTTTCATCATCACTAAGGTAGTTTTCATGTTTATTACATGTAAAATAGGGCACCAGGTACATGACGAGAAGCTACAATTTTATAACTTGCTCTCCCAGGGAAAGACTGTCGCTGAGCAAATCAAAATCCCTTGGCCGGAAGATTGGTTTCTCGAGATATTTTGTGACATTTAAATTCAAGTTCAACTCTAGGAGCTCTGGATTCTTGGCAAGATCAAACTCGTGCTGGAGATCCATTAAGTCCAGCAAAACTAGTTTCTGCCAATGTTGGATCAATGGTCATTGTGGTATGATTGAACCAATAGCTGCAAGAATGGATTGCTGTAGTTATAACCACGGATGCAACGCGAGTGAAAATTTGGTTGATACCCTGCAGGGAGAGTTTCTAGACTTTAAAGGCTATGATAAATGATTGAAAATCTCAGCTCAAGGTGGAAGGCTCTGACTTAATCGAAGGAATTAACGTTGACATTATGATGATCCTTTATATATAGCAGATTCTGCCAGACTGAGTGAACAAATGTTTTCCAGCCAGCACAATCCCACAAGGGAGAGCATTTTCAGCTCCTGAATTGATCATGGTTAGGAGCAGGATAGCTATTTCGAGCTCCTTATCCAAATCCAATGCGGCTGCAATCTTGACACGCCAGATTCTGGGGACAAACAACACATGGGCATCGCTCAACCTGCAAATAAAATCCATTAACAGCATTATGAACCTCCATTTACGTTGGCATTCAAGAATGTCGTCAGTTACAGAACCATCTCTGCTCGTGGTTGAGGACGAGGACGAGGACGAGGAGGGATGCTAGTCCGGCTTCGGTTGTTCCCCGTAGTGATCTTGTCCGACCCATGAATGAATCTCGCTCTCTTTCATTCTTCTGGAACTGGTTTTCCAGCTCCCTCAGACGATCAGAAATGGTGGTGAAAATGGAAGCCATCTCGACAACCTTCTTAATATTTCACCAGGATACTAGGATTGATGCTAAAAAATGTTCAAAGTGCTAAAATGAACGAATTACTTACTCCAATCATCACCATCATTGACAAATTTTTAATAGATTATACCAGTTTATGGCTACAGAATGTTAACCACAATGTCTTCTCTCCAAGCCACAAAGAATTTGAGGAAAAACTCGAAAAAAAAAAGGAGCAAAGTTGGTGGGTAGCAATTATTTGAGTCTGCTAATGAGGTGAAATTCCCGTTATAATTAAAGGATTAATTGCACTTTTGCTTTGTAGACAAAATGCATGAAGAGTACATGCACGAAGGCTCGTATCTACTGATGTGTGGATTGCAGGATCATGCACTTCAGAACTGTGACCAAACACTCTTTTATCTCCAAAAGGCATTTGCACCAAAAGGAAGATTTGAGTAACTAGTTTTTTTGGGATTTTTTTTGGTTTTGTGGGTTTTTGGGGGGACGCAGCCCGGGGGGGGGGGGGGGGGAGATCCTGAGTTCAAATTCGTCATCTCCCTCCCTGTTTCTTGAATCCCACCAATGTGCCAAGAACAAGCTGTGTTCTGCATTGCTTACTTTCATCCAGTTTATTGCAACGCATCAGATCATAGAGGGAAATAAAACCATGATCTGCAGATTCTGTTGCCATTTCAACAGAGACGCGAAAATGAAAAAAATGAAAACCTTTGAACAATAGAGGTGCAATGTAAACATCTTGTATCGTTGATAACCTACTGATAAGTAATACTTGATATTCACAGAGGATAAGGTCCATGAGCTACAGATACCCCAACAATGTACGAGAAGCTACAGATTCAAATAGCAAAGATGTGTACAAGTCGAAAAAGCTATCTGCTACTGATAATGAATGTAAATAAATGGTCTCAGAATTCTGTTCTGGACATCAGTGGCGAGTCATTATCTGTTTCTGAGTACATGCTTACCAACTGATTTCCCAGAATTCAAATTCATGGGCTTACTTCAAAAAGAAATCTTCTTCAAGAGCTTTTTGGGGTCTTCAAGACAAAGATATATCCAATGTAAGACATCTTCTGGATGTAAGCGCCATCCAGCTTTGCTGCAGATATCAGATTCATCTTCAAGAAAAATGTATAAACATAACAAAGTCTGCAAAACTAAATTTTCAAGAATTTGATTTGAGAAGGCCAAGAAAGGAAGTTCCATATGATGAACTGCATCAACTTTCTGGAAACCAAAACTCAGATGATGCGTAAAGAAGATGAAACAAAACTCTGTTGAAAGCATAAGCATCTGAATTCCTGTGTTCATGCTTGCAGCACTTGGCAGTGCACAATATGGCTTTTCAACCCAGTCCGTCCAGCAATACTTGACCACAAATTTGTGAATATGTTTCTTATATGACCCTTACCAGCAATATTTTCCCAAAGATGAGGATTGTTCTCCACTTGTTTATCCGGACTTGAGACATCAACCATACTAATGCTCATGTTGTTTCTAATAATGCAGAGTTTACCATTTACGGGCACAAGAGCGGCAGCCTCCAAGGCCCGAGAGCTACCCAGGTGCAACTTGCTGTCCATAAATCTAATCCAAGAATTTGTAGATTCATCATATACCCTAAGCTTGCACCCATCACGACAATCGAGAGCATAAAGCTTGCCATTCATAGAGACGCTTGGGTTACGCCAACCAGCAACCATTCCATCATCAGCCGGCATCCATTTATTAGATTCTGGGATGTAGGCCTCACTTAGAACCTCCCGGTGGGAACCCAGTCCTTTCAAGAACCACTTTCCATCATAAACCACACCAATAAAGGGAACCATCGCTGTGCTCATGTCAGCAACAAAGCTCCACCTGTTCTTGTTAGGGTCATAAACTTCAGCTGAAC